CAGACATCTAAAATATTTAATACCACTCTATTGATAATTTCCAATAATTATTTTTGATGAATAAAATTGTATTACGAAAAAATATACAATAATTATCCGTTTGTGTAAGATCACAAGATTAACCCATAAGGACCTTAGAAGAAACAATGATAATTTACATGCATAATGAATGACATCATAAAACAAATGGTTAAGTGTAAACAAACGAAAACATTTCAAGAAAAACGAATATTTAATCACCTTATAGTCATTTTCAGAGTTTAATGATATCATCGCCTTAAACCAGTCATTCGATTGTTTATGCTTAATTATTTGATGAGAAGGCAAGGTAGAATTCCAAATTGGATGATTCAAGCTTAACAAGTAAATGAGAAAGATGATGAAAGAAAAAAAATTCCACCTACCAGAAAACTCCTTCATAACCAGTCCCTTGTTGTTTTTGATTCATACATTCTCTAAATTCAAAGTGAATTTTAATCTCAAATTAAATAATAATAATTGCTAACAATAAAAAAATAGACTAAATCCAGATTTCGAAACAACTGAATAGAAAGATAAGAATTCCAGAAGTGAAAAAACAAAAAAAAATATGAAGAGGAGGTAAAGGAATGGTGTATGACGTATCAAACATACCACAACGCGTCAACATCGACATCATGCTAACAAATCATATTAAATGTTAATGAAAACTAATTAATAAACTGAATAGTAGCGTTTTATTCCCGAAGTTGAATAATTTCATAAACACAAAATACATATTATTGTCAGCATTAAACTTTCGTCAATATATTGTATTTCTATTCAAATAAACAATAAATATTCCTAATTAGAATTCAAATGAAATTTTAAATCATAAATTGACTAAGTGAATAATTTTAATAATAAAGTCAGTGGTGTGAATAAAAGGATCAGAAGTAAAACTAAATGAATTGGGGTTCGAACCTGTGATTTAGCAGTGTTAAGACTTGATCTAGTTCATATAATTACAGATGAACTATTTTGTTATATTTCCTGAAACTATTTTTATGAAATATCTACACTAGGGAAAAAGTAATACAGGAAACTTAAAATAAGGAATATATTAAAGTAGACCCTGTCGATAACAACGTTCGTTCTAACTAAAATTAGGTTTTTGATAAACAAAGACATTACTAGTTATTAATAATTCGTTGTATGACTTCTCTCAGCTAACCTTATAATCAGACAGTGTTGACTCAGACTGATTGGTTATTTGTTGATCAAGTTGAATGAAAACAATATTCCAAATAGATTGATTCAAATCCTGTAAACTATTAGATTTCATCGATGACCAAATAGGTTTATTGGCACTGGAAAATTTAGATAAAATAAAATAATGAATATATTGATAAACTATACAAACAAAAGAAGAGAATTTATCTTGACTGAACTGACGAACAAGTAGTTTTATTTTCACGGTAATGACCTTATGGCATGTTAATAAAAGAAAAATTGGGAGATTGAATCTCAACTTAATCAACAAATTCACGGGATGAAATATACACTTCAATATATGAATAATTCTGTTAAAGATTGATAAAAATGTAATGATAGAAACACCAAATTCAGCGAAGGGATCTTTTTTCAACAATGAATCTGTTGAAAAGAGATATCTTAAATGGAAATTGTAAATCTATCGAGGAATTTAATGCTTGAAAATCTGAAAAGTTTACTGCATGAATTTAACTAACAACTACATACTTGAATTCTTTAAACTGGGCTACAACAAAATGTAATACAGAACCTATGCTAACATTAATTACCGTAATATGGAAGCGTCATGTCTCTTTATTCAACATGTTATGCACAGTCACTAAGAAGAACTTTAAAAGACTAGTATCTTATTGAGAATCCCATGATTGATAGTTAATGTTTAGTCGATGAATTAATGCACTGTAAAACATGCAAAATCAAAATTAGGTAACACCTACCATACTACAGCTGGATCTCCACGGTATGTTACACGATCACATGCTCTATAAATTAGGTAAAATTTTATATTACAAATGTAATAATTGATTATTACTACAAGTTATGCACTAATTGAGTGAAGGTGAATAATGGAAATATAATTTCAACAAAAAGGAGTAAAGAAAAGATGACGTTAAGAGGTATCGAAGAAAAAAGAATAACACAGGCACTCTTCAACAATCTTAAGGTTGTTTTTTTTTCAATAAAAATCAAACAGAACGAATATAATATATAATAAATAGTTTGTATTTTATAAAATAGGTTTTATGACTGCTTACTATTATACATTAAAACATCATAGCAGTCAATAACTGTACACAATGATGATTTAGAAATGCATATAATGTATCATAAACTTTATACCTTTTTAATTTAGATTGTTAATATTAAAATGTGACAACCTAACCAACATGAACACAGATTCCATTGATTAAACTTTGAATAGTATAAAGAAAAATGTATTAAACACAATAATACATGAAAAGAATGTTTCATAAAAATAATCCATTTTAACCAGTGTTAAAAAATTATTTTATGACTTCTATGTATTTATAAATGAAAAAGTAAATTTTCAGAAAAACTATTAAAAAAAACTAAGTTAGTGATATAGCACAACAACTATAATTGAATTTTAATACACGTATATTTAACAATGAATTATGATTAATGTTCAGAGAAAGGAACAATTATAATTGTTTCACCTCAAAGTTAATCAATAAAAAGAAGTATAATATGAATATATAACTTTATACATATTTATGTACTGAATTATGAGTTGTAATTTCTGTGATAGTTCAAATTCAATGGTTAAGATCATGAGTCAGTTGAAGCTAGACAACTATGGAAAACCTGGAAGCACTGGATGGCCGTTTCGTCCTATTGTGGGACTCCTCAACAGTGTGCATCCACGACCTCCCCCCCCTGCGAGATTCGAACTCAGGACATAATGGTTTCGTGCGCGAGCACTCAACCACTAGACCATTGAGCCGGCATCCAACGGTGTTAATGTCTAAATTCAACTAATCCACGATATTGAGCGACACATCCACCATTGTCATCAGTGAGTTTCAATCTCACATGGTGGTCTAGCTTCAACTGACTCATGATCTTAACCATTGAAATTACTACAATCTCCACAAAAACCCATTTGATAGTTTAAGTATTCATATTTATCTGACCTATATGAAAACTATGACCAATGTTTTGTAAACTCAATAAACTAGATAGTAATAACAAATTTTGATGCATAAATATAATACCAGAGTATAGTTCATTTTACGAATATACCAAATGGGTTAACAACTCAGAGTAATAATAATAATAATAATAATAATAATAAATCCATTGAGACTTAGCAACTAGATACGCAGGGATGTATAATCACTAGTGAGTGCTATTCATACTACTTAAATAATTTTAAGTTTAATGTTCTAATCACTAGTTCGACACGTCTTAGAAATAATTGGAATATCGACTATGAGAAGTTCGTTTATGATATATGATTATACAACATTAGTAAAAATTCTATTTATCAAGTGTACTTGTTTTAAGAAAAAATGGAATTCATGTAAACGAACATTAGTGGAGTTGGACAAAAAAAACATGTGCATGAAGTATTTCTATACAAATGAAATCCCTTTCAAGTGTCACAGATGAAATAAATTCCCAATAGTAAATGAATAAGACATGAAAACAAAGGTTTTCAATAGCTCCATATTCTGTATGTAAACCGGAAAAATTATCAACAAATGTTTGACAAAACTCGGTTCTCTTTGGTTTTAACACTTCTATTATTATTATTATTATTATTATTATTATTATTATTATTATTATTATCGTTATTATCAATTTTAACGAAATATATATTTAAACAAAATAACATATATTTCGATCAGTACGCACTTTATAACTTATGTCAGATGATACGGAAGAAGCGGGCAAATCAATTTTCGCAACAGACCATAATACGTCATTCGATATAACATTGTTCGACGCATATTTTGATGACCACAGATCAACATTTTCGCATGTGACCGATGATTTACCGAATTCTTGAGTACTATGCTTTATACATGATCTTGTAAAGTAAATAAAAATTTATTTTTTTAAACAAAAAGCCATTAACATTATACATATACTGCTTATAAGACGAAGAAAATTGAGGATAAATTGTTAGGTAATTGATAGGGTAAAATGAAGAAATAATAAATACAAATACATACATTCAAATGACTTTCACAGACTATCATTTTGTCCATACATCATAATTAGAACTAAACGATAACACAAAGTACGGGTATATACCTGGTAAAGTAATCTACTCAAATAAGAAATAACTATAGATGTCAAAACTTCATGCAAACAATCAGAAATCACACTTGTACGCGTAAAGTATAGAATTTTAAACTTCACATATTGGTGGTTTTATCCTATGGATTTTAAAAAATCATGTTACCGTAACTTTTTTTTCCGAGAAAAGCACAACTAGTAAAATTACATGAAGATAATATGCTTCATTTAAGAACACTGATTCTAAATAAATGACAGACACTAGACCTTTATTAGTTTATGTATGTACTTACAAAATATGAATAAATGTTGTAATCAAAAATGTTAACAATAGATTACGTAAGTAATGAGGTAGACAAATTATGACTTCACACTTCCTAGAATACTTCTTGTAAGTAAAAAGATAAATTAACGTAAAAAATGGACAGGCCTAAGAGATAGTTCGAAAATGTTAACTTTTATTTGAATGATATATACTGTGAGGTAATACTGAGGATATTTTATTCCAGGAATTATCAATAAGTGTGCATATAATAGATTTCCGAAGTTAAATGTATGGTAGTTAAGGAAAAAAATAAATTTAGATGACGTGAAGCTTAAACTACAGATGGGCCCCATTATTGCGCTAATTATTCCTTCTATAAAAAGAGAAAGAACCCATAGAAATGAAACGATTAGTGTGTGCTATAAGATACTATACGCACACATACACACCCTCACACCTTATAACTTGAATCTGTTGAAAGGATAGAATCACGTTGTTGATTTTGATGTAAATCAATTTTGGCAACAGACCATACATTTGAAGGATATATACGTGCATTATCATTTTCATTTGATGACCATAAATCATGATTTTTGCATAAAACAGCGGATTCCCCACGTTCATAAGTATTTTGCTTAACACATGAACTTTAGAAAAGAGAAAAATATAAATACAGGTTACTTTTCAACAGATTAATTCAAGAGTATACAAGAAAAATCGTAAAACAAAAGAAGTAAAAGCAAGTGAAAAGGGAGAGGAATTTGTGAATAAAGAAACAAGCAAATATAAATCACAAGGAAGATGTCAAACATAACGCAAACAATCAGAACAGTTATTAGGTAATCAGTTTCCAGATAGTCTTTAGATTGCTATAATACTTCTTTGCATTAACTAGTGAATTCGGTTGCCTGAAATTAAAATATAACTACTAAACTAGTACTCACCAGTACGGAGTAATTTTCTATTTCAATGAAGATAATGTTAAAAATAAAGACATGGGTTTAACCATTGATCAAAGCTAATTAAAAATGTTCACATACATACACACCTTGTAACTTGAATCAGGCGTAGATGCAATCTCTTGTAAATCAACTCTAGCTGTTGACCACTGTTCGAAAATTTTACTCAAAGACTCTGAAGACCATAATTCTGTATTCTGACATGTTACCGAAGTTTGACGATTTTGTGAAGTACCATGCTTGATGCATGCACTTAAAAAATTAATTCGGTAAAATATATATTTATTAATTATATTAACCATAAGGAATAAAATGTAATTAAGTAAGAAGTAGTCATAAATAAAGTTTAGAAAATAAAAGGTTTTAACTCAATCATATTCACATACAACCAATCAATAAAGCAATCGCAATATTTACTGAATTGTCAGAAACTCAAGAAAATCCATGAAGCGTACCAAAGTTAATGAAAGAAACTCAGTCAGACTCACAAACAACATATATTCTATTGCTAATTACAAAGTCAGAATGGACGAATTGCCTTTTTTAAAGCTGTAAATCATTCTTCGAATCACTGAGTTTACAAAAGCACACAGAAACATAACTAGTCTATCATTCAAAGTTATACAAACTGTTTAAAATACCGGATTCATAATTTGACAAAATATGTTTTAGAATAACTGACAATAACCATTTATATGCTAAGTTACTGAACAATTCGCGAACACACACACCTTGTAACTTGAATCAGAAGATATTGTAGGCTCTTGTATTTCAATCCGAGTTGTAGACCATTCACTAGTTAAATTATTGAGAGAACCTGACGACCATAACTCTGTATTCTGACAGATAACCGAAGTTTGGCGATTTTGTGAAGTACTATGCTTTGTACAAGCACTTAAATTAAAAAATATAATTAAGAAAATGACATACTAGAAAAATGAGCATACACCTAAAAAGAAATGGATTTTTGGAGATGGAAAAAATTAAAGAAAATTAACAAAATAGTAGTAGTATTCATAGTCACGCAAACTTGACTCAATTCAATCACAATACATTGAAGTATACCCTCAACATTCCCGGGAGATAAACTAAACTAGAATAATAGTTAAACAACTGTAAATATGCTCTAGAAAAAATCAAGGTTCAATGTATTTTAGATTGAACTTATCATAATATTAGTTTATGATCACTAACATTTTGGTAGAAATGTTGAAATTAGCCTCCTACCATACACAAAAGTTATGTGAAAGGTTGTATCAGTAAGTCTTTGTATTTGTAATGAAATTCATTCGGTTCACCATTATTATTACGATCATTATTACCAATAATACGATTATTATTACCATGAATAGTAATAATATTGTCCGACTATTGTAACCATATAAAAAATTCTAATAAAACTTTACATGTCAAATGAGTACTTAACATAAATATTATGAGATTTGCAATAAAGTAGAATTAGTCAATTGTGAAAGCTTATACAAAACAATCAGTCAAAGAGAAGAAAGAACTCAACTAGGATCCACTTCAACACACAGAAATTTAACATTCATCCAATACCAAGGTTAATTATACGAACTCAATATGAGAACTTTAAGTGTAAAGTGAGAATAAACTTCTTAAATAATTAATCTCTAAGAATGATATCTAAATAACAACAACAACAAAAAATTTAAACCACATAAACTAGAAGTATATAATACAAATTATTTTCGAACTAAAATACTATTTGAAGGAAATATCGCTAGTTTTGTTAGTACAGTACAAAGAGTAAAACAAATTGCGATATAGTATAAAACACTAGCAAATTATAATCAGAAATACAAAGATCATTTACTATAATGAGAACGTAAAAAACGATGAAATTGCTATCCAAGTATTTAGAATTTCAAAGAGTTGTAAAGAGTCCATTCAAAAAGAAACTATCCCATAAAAATAAGATGATATAATTCATTCAAATTAACAGCTTAAGAAGAAAAAATGAATACATCAATACAAGTATACTTATTCACATGATAGTTCATTTCACAAAGTTAATTGAAATGGAAATAAATAAAATTTTGACCTGAAAAAACAATGAAAACATCTATGTACTAGGTGGAGATTAAACATGTAAATACTACCCTTAAACTTAGTCATGTTTACACTACCTTTATACAATAAATAAATAAAAAACAAAAAGAAAGTCATAATCATATAAAACTAGACCTTAATTTCATATACAAGAAGAAAAAAACAGGGGGAATAATTAACCAATCAAAAAATAATTATATAATATATACATATATATATATTAAATAAATTAAACATTGACCTTATAATCAGTTATAATTTGTTCATTTGAATCAATCAATGATAGAGTAATTGTTTTCCATAAAGATGTTGAGGATAACAATTCACTTTGAGTATGAAATGAATAATCTGACGTCCATAATTTTTCATTTTCACTAGAAAAATCAGTATAAATATTAATGATTGAAATAATTATAATAATGGAAATTATAATGAAAGAGTTAGCTATAAATTAAGCAGACAAATATTATTTGTAAATGAATTAATGTATTTCTTTACATTTAATAAGAAGTAAAGATGTTCATTTTTGACTGGATGAAATAGGAATCTTTTAGTGGTAAATATCAAATGAAGACGATTATGAATATTTTTAAGACAGATAATCGAATAACTTAATAAATAGGAGCTTTATTATATATATATATTCTCCTTGATGTCATATTGATTCAATCAACGTAAAAAAAGATAACACAATCCCGATTTACTTTCACTCTAATCTACAAACATGTATTTTCCAATTATTTGTAGTGATTCATTGAATGAACAAAATTCGTGAAACTAAGCGATGAATTCATCACCCACAATAAACAGCCGTCAATTTTTTTATGCAGAACACATTGGTTTTAGCAATTCACATTTGAAGATGATTCAAATGTAATCGGTGTAAAAAAAAAGTGAAATCAGGTTTTAAAAGTAAATAAAACAAAATTAAAAATAATAGGCGATAACACTTGACGAACACAGTGAACATTTCAAATCGCCTGGAAATAATGAAGCTTTATGTCAATTTTTGACATAGAACCTAAACGTTCTTTTAAGATATTCACTGCAATTTAACTTTTCGGATGTACAACAAAACAACCGATGAATTTTTTTGCAAGATACGTTTAACAGCTATGAACACTACTAAATAAGTGATTAAGTGAAATGGCAGCTCATTTATACAAACACAATAACAGAAAACATCTGTGCGAAAAATAAGTGTATAGCATACAATTAAATATTCTGTATTTGGAAGAAAGTAAATCCACTACACAGCAACCAAAGAGAAAATACAATCATTAGCAGTCTACTGTGCATCGAAACCAAAAATAGTATCTAACTAGAGGAAAAGCCAAATTCTAAGCGGAAATATTTAAAAACACACACATCTCATTTGCATAAATGATTAAATATATGGGTAAGTATGTATTTGTTTAAGACCTGAACATCCATAGTGAGTTAATAGTGTAGTGATGATGCATGTATAAAAAGTATTAGTCACACATGAATATTTCAACAAAGGTTGGAGTAAAAAACGCGATATAACGGTAAAATTATCTTTCAGTAAAGTAATGCATTATTGTTGTTGATCTACGAATGTAGATATAAATGGATACCTAAAACAAGAATCTTAGTGGGCTGACAAAACATAATTAACAACAATGTTGTGGCGAATTTCAATCATTTACTTTCCATTGAAACCTAACTATTAACATACAGAATTGGTATGACAATGTGAAAGCAGTTGATTAATCAGTAGAGATCCGAACAACTGTTACATTATTATCCGTCATTTATTATTATCGGTAGTATGCTAATCTAAAACTATTGCAAAATCCAATCCAGAACACCAAGATCGCACAAATAATACGTTGTTTGTCAGATGAATATTTAATTTTAGCCCTAATGAACAGATAATGTCAACTATTCACCTACTTCAATCGGAAGGTTCGTTCCTATTATCAACACACTTAAAAATGTAATCCATAAATCTCAGAGAAGAGATAATAATAATCCACCTCCTAAAGAATTTTTAAATCCATCAATTATAACAATGAAACACTATGCAATTAAGCATTGAGAATAAAGTAAAAACGAAATCAAACTAACTACTGAGCTTATTCACTTTTTTCAAATATTACTTAGTTACTAGTATTCCAATCAAGAAAACTCCTTGACTTGAATGTATGAACAATGTTGAAAATTCCTTTGGTTTATAATAAATAATCTAGAACCTATGCAATTGTCGAGTTCAAATCTGAAGAGAAACGAAAATTTAAATGGAAACCAAGCTTTAAAGTAACTGTATAGCACATTAAGCTGTGAGAATAAAAGAAAATACCTCTCATATGTATTATTAAACAAATCCAAAGCAAACGATTTCAATGGACTCATAAAATGAAGTTATCTACGCATGAAACAAAAAACTGTTACTGGCAAAGCTTAACTAAATAGCGGAACAAACTTGAGATTTTAACCAACTTAAGCAAACAGGAGGCAGAAAAATAAATGAGTAACTTATGATGTTAGATATTAGGGACACGATACAGGTTTAGTGATGAAAACACTAAACTTAATACAGAATCTTGATTAGAATACTAATTTCTGATCATATACTGATAAATGCGTTATGATTTTGAGGTGATTCGCAGATTAGCCATTTGACTCGGCGGTATAATTCACCATTTACAGTGACTTAAATAATTTCCATTTTTCAAAAGCAAAACAAACACAGAGCACTCTAGCTAATACACCTTAATACAATGTAAACAAAATGAAGATAAATGAAAAAGAAATAAAAAGTAACACGATGATATTGGCTAAATAATTTTAGTTAATAAACAAAACAAATGGTAACTGGTTTCAGTTAGGTTATGATGTATTTTTTTAAGAAAAAACAAATGAGGGAAAACTAAATGATAAGCAGAAAATCTAGTTATAAATAAATGAATATTTCAAACAACTTTATAATATGATAATGGATTATTCATTCATGTGATAGACATTTTTATTTATTTATCTGTTTATCGGAAGCAGTTTAAGCTTACCACAATAATGATTCTTTTCTTCCATCTACAGTCTTTTTAGTGCATGATCTAAAATATGAAGTGGTGAAATTAGAATGAGTCAAGCATAAAACTAACTATACGAATGACGACTTTTTTAGAAAATGAGAATATATTGGAACGAACAGTAATTAATCAAAGAAATAAAACTAATTGGAAGATAACAATAAACATAATTTAGTTAGGAATAAGTAAAAGGACTGAATATAGATGGGTGTAATTATTTCTATTCTATTTACAGAGATTATATATATAAAACATTATGAAACAAAATTTTAGCACACACATTAAGTCACAAAACAAACATTCAATAAGCAAAGAGGCAAGTGTATGTCCACACGTAGACAATAAAAGACAAACTTTATGTACTAGAAAAAATGAGTTCTTAACCACATAGTTTGAAGTAAGTAAATTATAGAAATAGTTTAGAATTTTTAGACGGATAATGACGATTCTATGAGTAACAAACTTGTTATTATAATATAAAATGAAGATTTGTGTCAGGTTCTAGATTGCTTATGGCTGACCGATTGCATGATGTTAAGACATACATAGAAACACTACGATTAAATGAATTCTTTACGATCATGAACAATAATAAGAAAATATTTATCGTTCAAAGAAAACTGCACACCTTGTAATCTTTTGAAGGGAAACCCAATGATGACTTAAATGGAATATCCACATATATCATTTTCCATAACGCTGGATTATTCTTGTCAGTAATAGTTTGCCATAACAACTCACTTTTACTAAATCATAATATATAATTATGTATACTATCCTGCTTACCAATTTTGTGATTGCATAACAAGAGTTCCATCAACTTGCTCAGCTTGTTGAGAGCAAGCACTATATATAGAAAAAAGGGATATTTACAAAATAGGTTTTATAAAAACAAAGAAAACCGTATCATGAAATATGATACATACTGTTAATAGTGACAATAAGTGATGATCAAAGATAAGTGAAACATGGACATTATGTTTCGTCATGCATACACACATACAAACACAAATGTGCATTCATCCATCAAATGAGTACTATATTCCAACAAAACAACAAAATAAGAATGATGAAGAGGATTCACAATGTTACAGAGAGAATCATGTAAAGAATTCGAATCAAAAATATTGATACACACTTTGTCAGTATCAAAAAACAGAATAGTGAACTAAAGTAAAAAAACAGTAGACACAACTATTACGCATATTAGAATGCTATATTTACATGGAAACTTAACTTCCAAAAATCTCTACAGGTAACTGCAAACAGTCTATTTAAATAAATTCCGTTTTTGTTGAAATTCTATGCTTATAATAACAACAACACAGAAATGTACTGCGTTTGGATATTATAACTTATCAATTTTGTTAATTATCAAGTTTATTATAAACTGTAGTGGGGGTAATTGAATATTAAAAGGTAGGTTTTTCACAAATCGCATTGCTCTAAAGTAAAAACAAGTATTCAAATATTTGGTTAGTGAAACGAAGACAATCAGAAGGTAACTGACCATCGTCATAGTCATCATGACAGATCAATAAGTAGAGATCAATCTAGAAGACTTATGATATTCACACTTATAAGTTCTACACTTTGTTATTAGAGATTTACAAATACTACCTACATAAATATAAAAAAAGTATCAGACCATTATATTTAGTTATGCAACGCTGGTTTTAACGAATTCTTAATGAAAAACTAGTCAGTCTACTACATATGAAATAAACAAAAGGTCACAACAACAACAGCAACGACAAAACATTCGATCATTAGAAAAATTCATTAGCAGGTTATATTTATGTAGGGATTTTGAGGGAGAAGCTTTGACACAAAAACAGAATAGAATAAATTTAGTTAAACAACTAATAAAATTTAGGATAAGAATTACGTGGTGAAAATATACAAACGCATCTGTTTAGTAATAAACAGTTAGGCATGCAAATAGCCCATCATTCGTCTAACCGATTCCATAAACAAACACTTTAAATATTAAATAATAATGAAAAAAATGAATGTATACATTACATGTAAAAACAAGTTGATTAGAAAGGTCGCTAACTTCAGGCATTATAATGAATCAAAAGGGATTATGAAGTGGGGTTTTTTTGTTGAAAACATGTACTGAATTCGCAGGCTTATTTTATTGATTTATCTGACCTCATACAACAATAAAGTGGGTTAAGAAATAAGGATGCCTAAACAAACAGAAAAATTTAAAATTGTAATATTCCCATATTGTAAATTTAAATTAAGCAATGAATCGATCGTCACAAGTTGAACTTAAGTGATTGGTTGCTATTTGCGAATTTGTGATTTGTAATAAAGTTTAGCCATTTAATATAAGTTGGATAATTTGAATGTAATCGATCAGCATTCAACCGATACTTAAAGCTCCGCTAGTGAGAGCCGACTATTTGGTTTGCTTTTCGTTAATATTCACCGATCATAAATCACTATTGTATTATGTGAATCAGTAACGTCAATGCGACTCAGGATAAAACTAAATAATAAGTTAAAATACAATTCCAACAGACTGGATAAAGTAACACGATTATTTTGGCAACAGATGGAACTAAATTATGACTGCTTGACTACTGAGTAGTGACCAATGTCATGTACGTCAAGTGCTTCTTAGTACTGGTCTAATTCTATAGATGGAACTAGTGTGGTGTGTGCGACTTATATTGACATAAGTAGTAGATGATGTTAGTCGTGAACAGAATTTCTGGCAGCAGAGAGACAAGAGGATCGAACAGTAAAGAATGAAAACAGAATGCAATTTGTATGAAAATGCAAGAACAATGAAGTCTGAGTCATTATGATACAATTGATGGACATTTTGCAAATTAAGTATTTACTATTTGATTGTTAGATTTTATTAACAAGTCCTATAATTTTGTGTCAAATACATTAGATTATCCCCACCCGTGTTCTGTTCACTACACTAGTACTAACGAATGAAATGAATCTATGCAACCGAATAATTGGTTATAGGTCCTTGTAGTAAGATACGGGAGCTACATAACGATGCTAAGCAATAATTTAAGTACATGATGGTCTACAACCTAACGTTAAACAAACACACAACAAGATGTAATTTGCAACAAGCAGTTTATATCAGACACTAGTACACATACACACATATTTACACGCAAACATACATACAAAACTCCACAATATCAAACTAGCAACGTATAGAACTGCCTGAAACCACACCAAACTTCAATATAATTTCCATCGCACAAAACATGACGAACGACACTGCTTATTGATGTTAATCAACAAACTAATTGGGCTTCATTTAATTCAACACCTATACGAACATAAACAAACACATCCTTATATACACATGCACGTACATACAGCAAACATTTACAAACACATACAGTGAATATGAAGAGAACATCATAAAGCGACATACATAGTAACAAAAAATTATATAACAATCTAAAGATTAAAGAATAAGCCTAATTAACGTGAAAGAAAGATGATGAAATACGATATAAATCCCTATGCCTTAGATAACCTAAAAAGATATTGAATTACACTTAACTACAACTAATAAATAAGTTGGAAACGCAACAAAACAACGACAGTCATCCAACAAAGATGAAGAGTAAAAAGATTGAATATTAGAATATTGAAAATGGAAGTAAAACATCAAAGAAAAGAGGATAAGAATGAATAATATCAATTAATATATATATATATATATATATATAATTCGATCCCAATTTTTGATACAGCTCACCTTCTGTATCGAAACTTATTAATTATCAATATACTCAAATGCATTGATAGTAATATGAAATAACAAAAAGTTATTAACTGAAAAAAACCACGCATATCCAGAGATGATCACTGATTGAATTACTAAAAAAACTATAAGTACAAATTCAAGAAGTTACAGTGAAGAGTGGCATTGATTTTTTTCCTGCAGGATGTTCTTTTATTATATATTACTCGGATGAAGACTATGAAGTAAATTAATCTTATTAGGATGGCAGAATAACAAGTTGCGATCCCGTCACAAGGTTGATGAATTTCGGATCCCGTCAATAAATATGATGAATGGTTATACTTCAAGACGTTTTCCTTGGATCCAACCATCAGTTGACCTGGGTCGTTGCACATAGATGACAAGAGTGGGAACATATGTACTAATAACCAGTACACAGATTGACGGACAAGAATTCTGATTTAACGCAACAAAAGAACCCTTCATTAATGACGAAATTCAGAGACTGATACTCATAATAATTCGTAGAACACACGAAAACACTTCGAACAAACCAAAAATGAAACTGCCGAATGATAAGCATCTCCTCCAATCTTACCCTGAAGAATGTCGAAGGAGAGTGAGCTGAGGGATATATCGACTGTAATTTACTGTGGGTGGCTGTATTGTTTGTTTGTTTTTACTCTCAATCATGTAAGACAACTCTAAGCATTGATAATCGATATGCGATTTCAGACGATGAAACTTATCACTCCAAAGTCGTCCAGAATAAACATCTGCAGAACTAGTATCGATTCCAAATGGAATCGATCTCTCTGTTTTTTCAGGATCCCCTTGAAATGCAGATAAAGACATACAAAGAATCCCATTCACTAAACCATGCTTAGTTTTTGAATGTTCAATTCGCCAATGAGCTTCACTATTTCGTGGGTCGGGCATCCAACGGCACATTCCAAATTTTTCAAAATCACAATTTGCAGGCGAAATGGGAGATGAATGTCCATTGAAACGCTTTTCATAGCCTTTAATCAATTAAGCAAGATACAAAGGTAATAAAGTTTAAGGAAAACTTTCAGATCACATAAATTCAAGCCGCCCAAAGGAAATAAAAGTGATTATGAATAAGAGATAAGAGGAAGATAAACTGTACAATTATAAGTTTAAGAATTACTTAATTAGTTTACCGCTTTGAATTGAGCTGTTGCACGTTAACGAGGAAGAAACTTGGATAAAATTACATAACAGTACAAATATCTTAAATGCCCCTAAATATATCCAGTCAGATAATCCGACATGAGAAAACATGAGGTATTTTGGTGGAGAGGTAACTATCAAGATGAAATAAAGTTATCAAAGTCGAGAAAAAACGGTTAGCCAACAACTCCTAGTCATTTGGTCGGACAAAAACTAATCCGATGAACTTCAGTGCTGCTTTTTATATTTATCATAACGATCAACTGAAGATAACACTATAAACCGATATTGAGTAATCATACTAAAAATTGTTCAAATCTCAAGAATAATAACATTTATCACCATTATCAACATGAATGAATTACATCAATGTGTGATAACACTAAGGTTTATTTAATTGGCTAATGATATGCATTTTATGAGAACGACAGAATGTAGGTATTGACTAAACACACTAATTTGATGTTGGCACATTTTCATGTGAAACACTTTAGAATTATAAAAGTTGGAATTTTTCGTCTAACTATATAGTAAGTACCATTAATTTAACCGAACACTGGTTCACTTTAAGGATTAGAAATGAAAAGGTAATAAAAAGAATAAATATAGACGACGGCTATTCCAACTATCCAATTGTTAGCCATATTATATCTCCATGAGAAAGAAAATCAAACTTTGCTTTGTATACCGATCGATTTAAGATGAGTTTCCATTAAATGCAACTCATTTTCGACAGTTTTATTCAATAACTTTCAGTGCATGTTAGTTAGTTGATTTTCACTATGATTACATATTTTATGACAATCACTCATTTAATATAATTCCGTAATTTATAGTCACTGAATCAATATGTAAATGAATTAGCTTTGATGCAAATCCAGTCCTTTTGGTCTCATACAATAAGATTAGTCTTTTGGAGTAGCTGGGATGAAGGGTTAGGAACAGACAAAGCTGTTGTACCGTAGAGTTGTTAGTCATCACCACATATTCTACATTTGAAACACGCCTGGAACAAAACTGAAGATAATCATCCAATTTTCCAGTAGAAAGAATCCAATAATTAGTTGAATTGAGAATTTCTTCAAACACAATACAATAATAAGTATCTGCAAAATGATTAAAGATGACTCCGTTCATCATTTGCTTTTTTTTACTCACTTTTTACAATGTCTACATACTTTCTTCATATAACATCTAATTCTCTCGTGACTCAAATACAATTCCATGTGAACATTAGTTGTTGCGTCTGTTTTGAATCAAAATGAAGATAACAACAAGTTTTCTTAACCACAAAATCATTGCAGTGAAATCTCTAGAGATTATTGAAACGTTGTTTCGTTTGCATAGTAAAGACGATATTGTTAACCGAAAACCATGATAAATTTTTATGACTAATAATGTATTTTCTTGCTGATTCATATAAATTTTACTGAGCAGATAATTACCGAACTGCAGTATGAGTATAGAGTAGCACTTGATAAGGATAACAGATCTTACCCATCTGAATGTCTCATAATTGTTAGTCGACCTTTAGGCGTTATTTTTGGTGGTATGAAATAGGTGAACTGCAGGCATTGTATCTCATGATCTTTTAGTTGCTTGCTAACACGAACATGACCACTCCATAAGCGAGCTGAAATATCTGTCTTAAATTTCAAATCAGAAACATCTTGATAAATTGATAAATCTGGATTCGGTGAAAGACACATGGCTTTTGTCTTGTAATCAAGTATATCCACCACTTGCCACAAAGCCAACACATCTCTTGGATCCATATTCCATCCACATAATGTTCCGTCTTCATAAGTACAATTTAAAGGATTACGTATAAGTTTGGACTTTGGTCGAATTAATAATGCAACTGAAAATAAAGTTGATTCAAGTCAATCTCTTTATTTTGATAGAATAGATAAGAATATTTCATTGACAAATCATCAAAATCAACAATCGCGCACAATATTGAAGCCAAGCCGAATTTCAAAAGGTAAGTTAAAAATGAAGGTATAATAAATGGAAATAGAAAATGAATTTAGAAAGGATGTAGGCGGATTTCATAATTCACTTTGATTGGTAACTTTATTATTTTAAAATTCACCAATCGAAATCGGCATGATTGTCCAATTATAAGTCAAGGATCTAAAGTAGATAAAGAACCAATAAACTTGGAAATCAGGTGAGTTTTCAGTTTTACGTTATATTTTGAAGGTATTCAGTTTATCAAAAAAACTAATCCAGTTTTTTGGAAAAGAGAGATAATTCTTTGATTTATTTGTAATAACTGACGTGAATAATCCAGTTACAAGTATGATTAACTACAGACAAATTAATAATTTATCTAAAACCGCTACACCCACAAATAGACGTTAATAAGTAACAAAAAGCAGCTTACCCTGTAGAATGTTTCATAAGAGTCAAACGTACGTGAGGAAGATGCTTATTAAATAAGACGATATATTTAAAACCAAGACCCTGTATCCTATTTGTTGGATGCGAACGCACTTGGCCACTCCATAAACGAGCTGAACCTTCGACAATCAACTTATCTCCAGACTCCACAAAAAATGGACTAGTACTCAAATGTAGGCAAGCAGCATGTGTATGAAATTTAGAAAGGTGTATCACCTGCCACCAGGCTAAAACATCTCTAGGATCATCATTCCAACCACAGAAATTGCCTTCTTCAAAACTACAGTTGACAGGGTCATTTAAATACCGAATATCCGGGCGGCGAGATACTACACCTATAAAATTCAACAGATGATGAAACCTTAGTGAACATTATTGAGATTAGCCGTAACTAATAGATACATAGTCAAAACCAAGCCGTCTCTAATGGAAGGAAAATAAGCAGAAGAGATGAGAAAAAGGAAGGCTTGAATAATAAAATAAATTATGAATCATTGAAACAGATAGCAGCTGATAATTCCTCAAGAGACTTTGTACAATGAAAATAGGATGGCAGTAAAAAATGTAATTTTCAAGCTGAACTGAAGCACCAGATTGCTGCATCACTAGTATATCTCCAACTTGAGGAACTGAATGACTTTGAAGCAGTTGCTATTATATTTGGGAACCTAGAATTAGTCCGTTTGAATCCACATTTAGAATGAAAGTGTGAGCGACCCGAAAGAAACATAGAAGGGAAAATATGACGTATTTTTCGTGTATTATGAAAATTAGAAATAAAGTGAGTTGAAAGATGAAGAACTGATTTTCCTTCTATTCAGGTGAATATTTCTTACCCAGAAGAATGCTTCATTAAAGTGAGCCTTGTTTTGGCAATGTGTTTAGTGGTGATCATAAACTGAAAACTTAAGCACTTTATTGAATTGTCAGGATCATGAAACACATGACCACTCCACAAACGGGCTGAAAATTCATGAAGTGATTGGACGGCCACAGTTGGTAAGATTGATCGACTAGGTGCCTTGGATGGAAAAAATATCTTGTTCAACTGCATACACATAGCATGTGTATGGTAGTCAGAGAAGTAGTAGACTTTCCATGACGCCATTTCATCACGTGGATCATCTTTCCATTTACACAGGTTTTTTTGTTCATAAGTGCAATTCACTGGATCTAGGCCAGGAATCAAGTTACACAAACCAACTTGAATATCTGAGAAGAAAAATATGAAATGTATGATGCAGGCAAGAGGCAAAAATAATGTAACCTTCAAAAATACACATGTAATGTAATTAGTAATCGACTCTTCAATGCATTTTAATTTTGGTAACCGAATCACAATCAGTCATATGATCTAATATCACTAAATTAATATATCATCAGTTGAGAATTCCTTAAGCTGGGAAGCCTTATGAGTTATTTTCTAAAACATTCGTACTAAAGCACAGCAGTTTTGTGGACTTCCTAAACAGGAACGAAAATACGAACTGAAAATAAAGAAGACAATTAGGTATATGTTTGAGTCGTTATGAGTAGTCTTGAAATTCCTCACCCAGTAGAATGCTTTAGAAGGCTAAGATTTATAAGCGAATCATCAACTGAGTTACTAGTAGACGGGTCGACATTAGAATCGTGTAACTGGATTTTATACTGAAACTGAATACAACGTAAATCATTTTGAGGATTGTTCAATGAATATTCCATGTAATCATTGTTTTCATTAGAAGTACTAACAGGTTCGACTGTTTCACTCCACAAACGTGCTGTTAAAGAATTCTGTTGAGCACCATATATTTTTCGAAGACGATAAGTTTGTATATTTCTTGGTTGCAGACATATTATTCCATTATTTAAATCCGTAGTCATATGTTCATGCTTCCAGTGAGCTTTGTCATTTCTTGGATCACCTTGCCAGTGACAAAATTCCATTTTAGCATCATCAAAATCACAATATAACAGATTATTCCAATTAGGTTGAGGCACATTTTCATACTCTTGACTTTTTAATTTAGGGAAATTTATTCCTATAACAAAGATGTACAGAGAAGAACATTGAGATCGAGTTAGAAGCCAAATACAGAAAAAAATGACCAAGCCGCTTATCTTTAGCAAGAAAACAACAAAATTGAATAGAGCAAGATTTGTCAGTAAAGCATCAATGAAGTTGCAGAATGAACTCAATAAAACATAGTAAGTGGAAAGAAAGTGAACTGCACAAAAATAAATGTAAACTGTCAGCCATTGGTTAGCCAAATTCACAAATAAATAAGTTCAAATCCATAGGTCAAAACACTGCTTCATTGAATTTTTCAATCACCAGGATGTTATACAATTCAAAAACAACAACAAATAAAATAATACAGCATTCTTCTAACGGTGATTTAATTGAGACTTGGTAAAACCCATTATTGTTAGAAAAAGGTTAGCGTGAAACCGATTCGTAAACAACTTCATTTTATTTCCTCACCCCATTTGACGACGTAATAACGATAGTTTCGGTAGTCTATCATCCACACCGTACATATTCAATTCTCTTCCACTCAAACTAATATGATCTCTCAATGAACCAGAAACATATTGTATGTTATATATCAACTGTATACAACTTGGTTGCTTCATAATTGATATGATTGGACTGAATAAACGAGCTGTTATATCGTAATCAGACTGATGGTTATTTGATTTTCTATGTAAGGATAAACAAACAGAATTTCTTTCTACAGTTGATATTTCACTATTTTTTGAAAAGTCTTCAGACTCAATCATCACCAGTTTCCAATTTACTGGCCAATTATTTTGATCATTACCCCAATTACAAGTGGATTTCTTGAATTCACAATCCAAATTCATATTCGTTTCTGATGAATAATCCAATGATTCAATTAGTTGAATAGCTGAAAACGTTATGAAGTAAATATGTTTATTAGTTTATTAAATGTTTGATGAGAAGTTTTGTGAAATGAAGTTGGTAGCTAGTGATAGTTGAGTTGTATTAAAAATGAATACTAAAGAAAAGTAGAATAAATTAAAAGATCGACAAGATCATTCATTGTTGCAACTCTTCTCTTGAATAATTTAAAAGTAATAGTGGTATTAGTAGCATAGTCATCCAATAAAGAGTACGTCTTACCCCATTTGACGACGTAATAATGACAATTTAGGCATAGTGGAAATTCCATCTGTTAAAATTTCTGATGAATCCATACTAGATGTACGGCTGGAAATGACGATGGTATAAACTAATTTTAAACAAAGGTTATTGAAAGTAGAGCTCATTAGTGAACTAAAAAGTCTTGCACTTAAGTCCATCGATTGAATTGATTTAGTTGCATCTAAACAAATAAGTCCAGAACTTTCCTGATTAAAACTTGTACTGAATCTATCAGTTAATTCAAGCTCCCAGTTAACAGGCCAATTATTCTGGTCATTAGACCATTTACACATGGATGAATCAGTAAAATTGCAATCCAATAGTGACTTGTAAGACTGATAATTACTGAACACTTTTGATTGATCTGAGAGCACCAAATACGTAGATGATGAATCAACAATAGCTGTGGAAAGATTGATAATCAAGAACTTTTTGACCATAACATTCGATGGGTATTATAAGAGAAAGCGCAGAAATAAGGAATGATTTAAGCCGTAGAATTCAACAACTGATATAGGGCAAATAAATTTTAATGCAAAAAGAACACTAAAGAAATTCCTTTTGGTGTAATATCACCAGTTGAGACAAAATAGAATAGTTATTTAGGAAAAGCAGTTTTATTTACTATGAGGTTAGGGTATACAATTTGATGAATAGGAATAAAAAATCTAAATAAAAAGTATAGATTTAGATAAATTGATAGAGAATAGCTAAATAATTTAGATGGATAGATTATACAGAGGTACATGTGGGTATATATATATGATCTCACCCTTCACGACGCATTAGTACAGACAATTTAGGCTGTGACTGATTATCAGTCGGGTTTTGCAGTAAACCATTGTCTAAATGATAAGATAAACTTAAACACTTCGGTTTTTGTTGCTCAGATAATTTTCTAATTCGTATTAACTGACTCCATAGGCGAACCGTTAAATCAATCGCCTCCGTAGAATCATCATTAGAATCTTCTTTATTCAACTCCAGACATAAATGTTTATCTCCTAACTGATTATGATTATCAGTAGGTGATATCCAATGTTTCCATCGTCCACGCCAATCGTTTAAATCATGTTGCCAATTGCATAAAGGTATTAAAATATTGTCGAAATCACAAGATAATGACTGGTCCATTAGTAAATAACCTTAATAAATAAGAAGATAGAAGCTGTGAATGATAGTTTTTTTAGATAAGTTTGTAAAAAAGAAAGAAATGACAGTTATTCAGTGGGAAAGGGTTGAGATTATTTCTTGATAGTGTTAGCACAGAAAACATTTAGAAACGATAAAGGTTATAAGAATTCCAAGACTAGTTCCAGTGTTCAGTTTCCTATTCGACGAAGTTTTGATTCAGTGGGTCCCACATATATAACATTTCCCCACTGAGCCACTACTTCGTTCTCACGAAAGTCCTATTACAGCTTAAGACAATTCAATAGTTCGGATTC